CCAAGACCACCCTCTTTCTACATAAAAAACGTTCTACATAAAAAAACTCTGAGCTAGAAACAAAAGCAAATATTAATAAGCAGCTAAAGCATATATTTAACATCCAGAAAAGATATATTGTATCTGATTCCAATATATAAAAGTGACAGACTGTGAGAAATAGGAGTAATTATTTCCTACCATTATTTTTGAATTACTACAGAAATGTACGTTGATTACTTCACTTATTATTTTGTTAGAAACAAATAATTTTAGACCAGAAGGTTCATGCAGCTTATTAATGAGCTACACAAAGTGAAAATCTAGAAATATAGTAAGGATCACATTATACTGGTTGTTATAATTTACATTCAGCTTTCTGGAAGATGTAATTTTTACAATGCAATTCAAAAACACAGAACAGAAAGTAGCAAAATAAGTCTGATCACACTGGAAGTGCCAACAGTCAAAAATCTGAGGTAAATAAATCAAAACTATGATACAATTATTTAAGTTGTTTATATTTTTCTTTCTAAAGCATTTGGAGATCTTCTGACTACATTTTCATGACATATCTGTAGAGAAACCTCAGTGACTTGTCTTAAAGAAGAAAGAATAGAAAAAAAATAAATTAGGTGATGCTCCTTAAATGGAGATGAATATATGTAAAATAAGGTTTACTACTTATGAAGAATTTATTAAAAAATATATGTTCAGCTTGCAAGTAACTCAAAAAAGTGACTTTTACTTTAAAAATGGTATTGAAGGCAACTTGAAAATTACAAAAATTCTCCTGACCATTGCAAAGATGACCCTTTAGATAAGAATTCTGGTTTTCAGCAAGAAGAATGTGTTACAAGTATTCTTTCTTTAAATGCCATATTTAGTTGCCTTATTATTTTGATATTTAAGTATCAAAAACATATCGAGATATTGGAAAGGTTTTATTTTTTTGTTTCAGAAATCACCAACTGAAATCAAAGATAGGCAGATCATGACAGAGATGTGCAAACACCTACTGAAGTATTTTAAAACCAGTTAGAACATGCCTGAATGCAGGCTTATTATCAGCTATGGTCTATGCAGTTTCTGGGTATGTCTGTCTATACTATGAACTGATAAAGTCAGTTGCTTCATTCTTGGGTCTTGCACCCCTGAGCACCCACACCACATGCATGTTGCTTTATACCAGGACAACTTTCTGGAATGAAACGACTAATTCCTTCTGAGATGTAACCCAGTTTTCTTCTGGCAAAAAATTGTTACTCTTTCTGTAAAAATGCTCTTTTGGTAGTATAAACAAGACTGTACCAGGTTTCGTTCCTTTTGCCTACAGAGACCTCTCAACCACTAAAATCTCCATGTTCCAAACATACCTTAACTTTCTCACACCATGCCTCAGGACATGCAAAAAAATATCCTGATCGTAACATCAAAATATCACTCTTAGGATTGATATACAGCCAGCACACAATTTTAGGCAGCATGAGCCAGAAGAAATCCTAATAATTATGTCTCAGAGCCAGAGAAACACGACATTGGATTCAAAGGGAACCTCGACTGCCCAATTTACCCTAGAGGCACCAGGCCAAGCTCTGCATACATGAACCATCCTGCTCCTTGGTCTGGGCCCAGGGATCACTCCCAGGGGCAGAAATCTGTACAGTTTAGATACAAATTCTGATATACTACTTGGTCATTTCTTGCAGGTCTTCCACTAACTGTGAAATTAAAAAAAAAAAAAAACTTAGTGAGTGTGATAAATATTAAAATAAAGAGCCGCAAATGCAATTCTAACGTAATCTACTGATTTCCATTAAAATGATATGCTGAATCCCAATTTACCACCACTTAAAATTCTCTAAACTAAAACCAACACTCTTAGATAAAATGTGGACAACTCTCTTTGATACATGCTTTAACTCTTAGGTTTCCCTGCCTGGAGTTCAGGAGTTCGTCTCGATGATCCTTGTCCCTTCCAATTTAGGATATTCTGTGATTCTATTAAAAAAAAGGCGTGTATTGACATTTTCTGGCCAATTCTCCACTTTATTGGTAATGAACAAACCATCAGAGCATTTCTTGCACCATTTTTACCTTTTATTTCTGAAATGCCGAGTGTTTCCTCACCTTTATCATGGAAGTTTTTAGAAAAATGAAATCAAGTCTTTGTCTTGTGGTTGGTTAAAGACATAGCCCTTAGAAGGCAAGGATTTAACTAAGATTTGCTGCAAATCATGCTCTTCATTTGCAAGATGATTATCAGAATAGAAAATTCATTTCCCTCATGTAAACTCTTGAATTTCTATCAACTTTAGCTTTGCTTCTTGTCTGAATCTGTCAAGAAATTTGAAAGCAAACTATTTACACAACATAGCCTAAAACTCTTCTGTAGTAAACAAAAGATAACGATGTTGTTCCTGCCACAGCTAGATATGATGAACTAGAACACAACTAGAATGATAAAAATGCTCTTCAAATTCAAGATGTGTAGGTTTACTTGCAATTTCTATACTTAAGAGAATAACTCAATTTTTCTACAGGAATCAGAAAATTTTGCTCCACATTCTTAAACTGGACCAACACACCATGCTGCAACTCCGTATCGAGGCCTGTAAATGGTGACAGAAGAATGTTTACTTCAACGTTACTATTTATAAAATGGTAATTTCTAAATTTTTAGAAAAGAGTGTCATGGAAAGTTATGCCATCTATATATTTAGCCTTCAGATCTCCTCTTCTTTTAATAAAATATTTAAAATATGCAGTTTTGACAAACCTTGCCATATATACATATGTTCTGAGTGGAGAACTACTAAAAGAAAGCAATCAGTAAAACACTTTATTTAAAAGAGAACAACAGCAACAACTTTAAATGAAAAAACAGAAGCTAAGATAAAAAACCTCAAGAAATCCCTATCTTAATGTGAATTTCAAAGATTAATGCTGTGACTGAAAAGAAAAATAAAATCTGAAAATAACCCAGCAACAGAATCAGGCCGTGAAAGCTGCCTGAAATCAAATACCTGATATCCAATTAGGGAAATATTTTATCACAAATAAAACTTCAGCAACTGCTTTGATGTATATATGCTTTTTAAACAAGAGAGGGCTCCTTATTAGATGATCACATCTTCGAGCAAACTAAATCTGAAGCTATCAAAAGGTTCAGGTGACAAGCCTGTGGATGATAATGGTTTCATAAACACCATAAACACAAAATTCAGAGTAAAAAAGAAATGCTTTTCTTAAAAAAAAACAACCAAAAAACCAAAACCACAACCCCAAAAAATCATTCTGAGGAATTCAATTGCCTTGATGTAACACACGAAGAAAGCACCAATTAAATATGAAACTGTCTGCTGCAAAGACATACCAAGTGGATTTGCCTAGCTCCACCAAAAGTACAATTTCTGAAGGATTTATACGAAGCACCCTCTTTTATTTGTCAATAAACTTATCATTTTATCATGTTCCTCACTTACAGAAATGAGAACCCCATCAATGCAGAAGAGAATAATTTAACACTTTTAGAAACCTGTAAGTAAGGTGGTTTTAAAGTCAATGGCATAAGATGTAGAGAGTAGGTGTTAAAGTGTTCCAAGATTTAGATAAATTCTTACAACAGAAAATACACCTAACTTTGTTCTTATTAGCGTGTAGTATGGAGCTGGATGAAGCAACATCCATATACTACTCAGGCAAATCTTCAGTATAACAACAGTGTTAATACAATAAGTTTTGTTAGTTTATATTGTTTCTAGGTTAAAATAAACTTTTTGGTTTAGAGGTTAGTCAAGAATCCCAAAATTCATATAAAATCCTTTTATCAATAAGGCAGGTGCCAACTGAGGAAAGAAATGGGCCTAGATATGATCCTCGAGCCACTTCCATGTGGTTCCTTAAAACTAAAATCTTCTATAGCAACTCCACATTGCCAGAGACAGGACACTGGCAAAGATTCCAAAGCAACTGCATTCTAATTTTATATCATTACCATTTTGCATTGATATCATTTTGTAGCTACTTACTTCACACTTCCTTAAGGAATATTCTAGAGCATTTTTTTTAAGTCAATTTATCACTAGATATTCTGTTACTTCAAAATATAACAGAAATATGTACTCATCCTATCTGTTGCTACAATTGGGAGATTCAGTCCCAAAATCTACTGACAGGATGAAAATTAGCAATTTGCTTACTCTCAGCTTCGTATTTTCACAGCATTATATAATATTCTGAATTAGTAAAGCATAAAGAAACTGGAAATGAGAAGAAACACATTTGTTTCACTGACATATTGAATTAAAACACTGATGGTATTAGATGCCTACAGCACTGATTAAATTTATTCTAGCCATGAAGCAACAGTTTATGATTTTCACATGAATAGCATACTTAAATGAAAGGAACATTAATACAATATGATATTAATATACAAATACTCACATTATTCAC